CCTATCTACTGCCCTTGAACATTGGAACTCTTGGTTCTTGGGCCTTAGAATTCCAGGATTGACACCATTTCCCCATCGCACCTTTGTATTTGGACAGAGAGCTATGCCATCGGCTCCCCTGGTTCTCAGGCCTTCAGACTCACTGAATTACATCACCAGCTTTCCTGGTTCTCCAGTTTGTGGACTGCAGATAGGGGGACTTCTTTCTCAGCCTGTATACTCATGTAAGCCAGTTCTCATAATAAATCTCTAGATAGATCGATGATAGAAAGATAAAAATGAGACAGATCAGTCCATCATACTTATGTACATTCATACATCCTATTGGTTCTGTATCTCTGGAGAAGCCTGACTAATACAGAAAGGTTCTAAATGTCTACAGGTTTAGCCACAACAGTGACTGCCACATCCTAGGACATACTGGTCCTAAAAGGAGGGGAATTCATTTTAAACCCAATATAATGTTGGTCTTCTCTCAGCCAACCCAGACTAGATCTTTTTTGGTCAACCCTGACCCCTTTCCTTCTAATGACATGGTTCCAGAAAACTTCTCACCAAATGGAGTTATAAGAAGTTCATAAAGTAGGACATTTACATTCTGCAAATATCAGATCTTGGAACAGTCCAGCTCCCAAAGGCCTTGAAACCACAAGTCACTCTTCATCTAGAGACTAAAGGACCAAGAAAATATCCTTCTCAGTAGAAATAAACTGTGCAGAAAGAAATAGTACTCTCCCTTGAGAGCTGTCTCCTTTAATACACTTTTCAGACATTGTACCCAGGGGTCTTCTCACTTTGATATAAAACCAGAAGTTATGTTGACATCATAGAGCACAGGATCATCCTAGTAAGAAATGTATGTGAAAAACACCTGTAAGAGCAGATAATAAATTGTTAACAGTGGTTCCTTCTGGAGAGGGAGATGGAGTTGGGAGATATGCGAAAAAATGCTCACAATTATTCTATATACTTCTTGAACCAGTGTATGTAGAGATGTTGACAGTACCATTATTGTCATTTGTAGTAACATCTTCAGTTGCAAAGTGAGTGGGCTCACACTGACATGTGAAAGATTTTGAACTTCACCTTTTAATTATGTTCACTATGTGCTAAATACACTGGAGAGGCTGTGATGTTACACCAGACATGGGTCCTGCCCTCAAGTAGAAGTGATGATGCATGAATGCAAATTACTATGACATACAGAATGTAGTTTAATAAAGAGCCTCAGATGAAGTGTTATGATATTTGGAAAGATAATTACTTACTTCTGAATTAAGGAAGGCAGAGCATCATGCAAGAGATGAAAAAATATGAAGAATCTTTATGAAATTATTTTTGTTACTGCCTCAACTTTAGTGTGTTTTCCTGTTTATAAATCTTCCTCCATTAGACTTTCAGTTAAAGGCCAGAAAGCATTTTATGTCTCCTGGAATATACACAGAGCCTTTCACTAGCATCCATCCCATTCATCCATCCATTTGGTGTATTGAGCTTTGTACTTAGGTGTGGGGAAGCATGCAAAGTTGAATAAGTTGTAACATCTACCATTGAGGATGGTAACACAAATATTAATAATCACAGCACAGTTTCATAAGCGCCTTGACAGAAATAATGCATAGGGGTATGGGAACCAAGAGAACCAAAATCAGAGCAAGAGGATGAGAAAGAAGGCTTCCCAAAAGAGATGGTACTTAAGTTCTTTTTGAAGACGGTGGAAAGAGAAGTAGAGTACAAGAGGAATTTTATGTGGAGGCTATAGTATCATCCCTTCAAGAACTATAAATAGGCACTCAAAAATATTTAAATGACCCAAATTATGACCATGATAGTCTAAGGGACTTAATTCGCATCTAAGCATTTCCTTTTTGACATAACAGACATCTTTGAAAATAAATCCAAGGTTGCCCCCTGATTATAAGAAAAGTTGGTTAAGAAATTTATCCTAGAATCAGAAACATTCCCACAAACTCATTTTCTGATCTCTCCCAACAAGGATTTAAGTGCACTGGCTCCTTGAACAAAATAAATGAGTCACCAGTTAATCTCATCTAATTTAGTCAGGGTGGAAATCTGAGGGACTGGCCTCTGGGCTTCCCAAGCTTCTGCCTGGAGAGATGTGTGTCTGCTCTCCCTACCAGCTAGAATGCTTTACTACTTGGTAAACAGGCAGCTCCCTTCCCTTCTTTGCTTAACTACACCCCTTAAAATCAAACATCATTGAGGTAAATTTTGCTTTAATTCTGCTTGCAGCGAAGAAGATATAATGAGCAAATATGAGGTGAATGTGATTCTGTTTTAATCATCCCTTTTCAAAAGGGCTGGCAGATGTAATGTCCACATCAGGCAAGGGCTTATTGCAACTCCTGGAGGCATTCTGCTAAGACAAACAGGCAGCCTAGTCAGAAAACACAAAGAGCAAAAATGAAACAATAATGGCGACCTTTTTCTTTGGCATAAAACTAACCTAATTCTCAGGTACATATTGTGCTTCCCAATAAATGGGTAAGGAAATTGAGGCATCAGTTAAGCAAATTAGCCAAGCTTGTGTGAAAGCTGACATTTGAGTATAGGGTTAATCTGGCTCCAAAACCCATTCTTTCTATTACCCAAAGTTGCCTCTCTCAATAAACCATAGGCTTCTCAAAAATGGAGAAGGCAAGTTGCTGGAAGAACAAAATTATATTTGTTGAGGCCAGAAAAATCAACTATATGATAGAGTAATCCAATCCTGCTCGTTTTACAATATTATGGGAAAATGACTGCTATCTCAGCATAGCAGTTTCATTCTGACACAACACTCCCCCACTGCTCTGGTGACAGAGTCCTGCAGCCCCATGCTGTGTACAGAAAGGCATTTAAACCAGAAGGGCCCTTATTCAGAGGTCATAAAGCAGGAACTCAAAAATGCTCATTAACCATTTAAGACCTGATTTTATGTGTCTTTTCCTTTCCTTGCAAGAAGCCTCACTGACACATTGGTCTTAACATTGTAAATCTTCTATACCATGTATATATAAGGAGCTAGATAAGTAGAGGACACAATGAGAAAGGAATCGACAGTGCCACTAGACTAAAATTCCAGAACCTCGTCGTTGGGGTAGATTGTGCTAGGACTTCTGGAAATTGAGGCTGGAATGTTAATTTCCCCCAAATTTCCAGTTGGTTGTGAGGCATCATACTGAGTAACAATCCCTGCTCTAGAGAGAAGTCCAAGAAGAATCATTCCATCAAGAATTCAACACGGCCAGGCTTGGTGGCTCAGCCTGTAATTCCAGCACTTTGGGAGACTGGCAAGTGGATTGCCTGAGCCCATGGGTTTGAGACCAGCCTGGGCAACGTGGGGAGACCTAGTCTCTACAATAAATAAAAATTAATTAGCCGGGTGTGGTAGCGTGCACCTGAAGTTCTGGTTACTTGGAAGACTGAGGTGGAAGGATCACTGAAGTCCAGCAGGTCAACACTGGGGTGGCAGTGAGCATGCTACTGCACTCCAGTCAGGGCAAGATTGAGATTCCAATGCAAAAAAAAAAAAAAAAAAAACACAAAAAAATCAACACTAGAGATCCCACAGGGTTAGAGAAATATAGGATTCAGATGTTTTTTTAAAAATTCATTAGCCTTTTTTATTTTATTTTTTTAAAGATGTGGGATACAATTCAGGGTTAGGTATACAAATGTTCCTTATGCAGTTACCCTTGTTGATGAGGTGTTCGTCACCTTATTGATGAGGCGTCTTAATGGACAGATTCTACATGGTTTCCCTGGTCTGATCATCATTTTAAAAACCTGGATTTAGGAAGTGATACTTCACACTTACTCCATCATCATCTATTATATGAGGATGAGGGATAAGTGATCACCCAATGCTTGCTAGCAATTAACTCTTTAGGTCATCTCTCTGAATAAGATGGAAATTAAAATTTTACAGCTCAAATCACAGTGACTGCATAGCCAAACCAAATCACTATACTTGAATTCAGATGGCTGAAAAGCTAAATTTGATGGAAAAGGAATACTGTATGTATTTCCACACAAGAAATTTATGCACATGTACCATTCTTGTACCTCTGAAGAGTTGGACTTTCCACTAAGGTTATTTGCTACTTTCCATATTCTAAAGGCAGTGGCTGCCCTCCAGATTTCTTCTGAGCTTTGGGCAACCTTCTATTTTATTTGCTGATCTTGCTATATTTCTGGTAAAGCTAAGAGAAGAAACTATTCTCTAAGAAAGAAGAGCCCATGCCCCTTCTGTGTCACTGATAGTAAAGTGTTGATTTAATTAAAATAAACACAGACAAGAGGAGTGAGAGCGTAATAAAGTGGTTCTTTGCAAGCACGAAGAGATAGAAAAACAAGTTCTAAGATTCTGTGAACTGGAAGTGTGACTCTGGTTTGCTATAACCTCAGCTGTTAAAAGGGAAATACCCTATCTCTTCTTCACTATTTAGTTACTGGATTGGGGTTTTTAAACAAACTGTTCTCATTAAAATCAGGTGAGTTTTTTAGAAACAGGTAGCTCAACTTCTCAAAACAAAAATAATGAAATGTAAGCTGAAAACATCAAGAAAGCAAAACAAGCAAATATGCTGACCTCAAACATAAACAGTATTTTTTTAATTTAAAAAATATGAAATGAGTTGGTTTTTTTTGCTTGTAACTTGAAGTTTTTGCACTTTAGGTCTCACGTCCCAAGTAAGAATCCAAGCCCATAAACATGTCTAATCTATGGCGACGAATGATATTTTACAGAGTGAAAATGAACATAAATAATTTTCAGAAAGCTGGGGTTTTTTGGTTTTATTTAAACTAAACTTCATTCTATTTCCTGACATACAAACTACTGATATGTTAAATAATGTTGTAACTGCAACCTAGTTCCATGACAGAATTGCTTTCATCTCAAATCTTGAAAGTTCTGCCACATAAACGTTTTAGTGAGGTCAAGGTGGATACATATTGTGAATCTTTAACTGATTTTCAAAAGGATGCACCACAGGTTCACACTTCCACATCTACATAGCTTTATTAACAAGTAAAATACATGCCAGCGTGTTTTTTATATGGGCAAGGACATTCCTATAATAATGAATGGCACATTATCATCTAATAGTTGAACTTTATCAAATAATATACTAATACTTCATATGGCTATTTGAAGAATTAAGTGACTAATAAACATTTAAAATGACATTTAACAGCAGTTTAAAAATATAAAAGCCATATATTGTTTACTATTAGCTGGAATCATTCAAATACAACTTCCATTTAAAAAAAAAAAAGATACTATTCTTCTTCTATAGGCCAAACAAATGGTTAGAAAAAGCTGTGATAACAATAACTGGTTGCTGCCCTTACTCCAGTTCCACCTCTCAAAGGGCAGCAGGGCTAAGGTAGTCACTTTTCAGTACAGTATACGATTATACACGCGGTGATCATATAACTTATCCTCCAAATTAGGAAACTTTTGAGAGTCAGAGGAGGCACTATTTAGTTAAGCTAGGAAAACAGGAATAACCAAAACTGTTCTGAGTCAACTTGGGATACATGTTATATTCATTAAGTACAGTATCACATTCACTATCATTATTTTTTATGCTTTTTTAAACAATACATGCCAGTCAAAAAACACAAAATTTTCTCTAGTTAGATATTCTGGACTGACTGCTCTTTTCCTGTTATAAGAGGTTTTTACTGGAAAGATTAGTGATTATTCTTTTAACAGGTAAAAATCTACGGACAACTTCAAAGGCATGTCTCAAATGGGATAAATATCCCTAGAGGCTAGAGATTAGTATTTTTAATCTATTAAGCAGGGATTTTCATTTTGACTGAATATAGTGGGATTTGTATTTTAATTTTAAATGTCTAAACTCTATCTTGAATTCATTATATAGAAAAATGTATCTTTGCCTTAAAATTCAGCTTATTGCATAAATACATACAGTGGATTATCCTGGCCATAACTAGCTTATTCAAGCACAATAGAAATAATTTAAGAAATTTTTGCATGAACTTCCAAGTCCCAGTTCACATTCATTCAAAAATGTTTGGACACCCTAACAAGAATTTTGATTTTCAATCTTTAAGGCAAGATTCAAGGATGATTAAGTGTCCCCCAAACACAACAGCAGCTATTCAAGCTCACAGGAAATGAAAGGATGTATGTAGGATTTGATAAATCTGGATGAGAATGTTTCTGAAAATAACATTCTGATTCCCCTGCCTTGTATGATGAGATTTAAGGCTACCATTGAATTATACTAATTATAGAGAACTAAGTATTATGTACACTTGAACGCTATAGATTTGGGGGAAAAAATCAAAACAAAAGGTGAAGTTTTGATTTTGGATCAAAAGTAACATATCCATATTCAGAAACCAAGTATATATACCATAAAAACCAAAATGAAATTTTAATAAATTGATGTTTGATAGCTGAGCTTCCTAGTATTTTAAAATTACCATGTATCAAAGCAATTAAGCTTTAAGAAATTAATCATTTAAAATTATTAAAAGAACAAAGCATAGATATATAAGAAATTAATATGAGATAGAGAAGAGATACAGCATGAGTTTGCAGGTTATCAGTACATTCTAATTTTAATTAATTTCCAAATTAGACAACTAAATTATATATTGTTTACTTTACCCCATGCTATTATTTTACTTAAAGGGGTATAATACAGACACTTTAATCAACAGTAAAAATTCTATGTAGGTAAGTAAACTGAATGAGAGAAAACAAAAAATAGGAGGCTCAATTAGCAAAACAAAACTGTATGTTTTATTTATCAAAGACAATGAAAAAATCAGAAAATACAGAGAAATACAAGAAGTTATAAAGCATAATAAATTTTATTTTTTCAGAAATGGAAAAATGCCCCTGAATAGTCAGATGTACCTTTTAGTAGTAGTGTCTCATAATAAATAAGAAATTAATTTTATATGTTCTATATAGCTGAATTAAATAATTTCTAAGTTTAAAAGATGATATACCATCATTTTTACTGTTGGCACACAAAAGCAAAGATATAACTGAAAAGAAAAACATAAAAAGATTTGCAAGATGCTAAATGTAGTAGGTTAAGAATGTAAATTAGATTACAATTGTAATAATGGTTACACACTCTCACCACACACACACATCCCCCACCCCTATGTTCCATAGACACATTTCCATAACTTGAAAATGGGAATTTTGCATATCTCAATTCAAGATAAGTTTTTTAAAAGTTAAAATCCTATAATCACAAAGCAAGAAGCTATTAATAGCACAAGATTTTATTTGCTAAGCTTTACAAATTAAGCATCTAGAGAAAAAAATTATTAAACTGATATTGAAAGATTTATTGGCTTTTGAGAAGACAAATGCAAATGAAAATTATCTTATTTGGAAAATTAATTTTCAAAAGTATCTTAAATGAAATAAATATAATATCCAATACAATCTCTTCCTGCAAGAATCTCTAAGATGGGCAACCCTAAAAACCAAGCTACTCATTTGAAAAATCTCTAAAACTAGTATGTCCCTTAAAAAATTTTTTTCTTATAAGGGACTTTTGGTATACCCACATTTTCTTGAAATTTGTCCAAAACAAACTTTATCTTTAGCATTTGAGTTTTCTGTATATACTTAGTCCATTTAACTTAAAATTAGAGATATCGAGACACAATTTCTAAGAAAACAATGCAAAAAAGTAATTTATGCATGGTTATTCACAGAAGAGTTTTCCTAAATAATAATGTAAATATGTTCAAAAATCTGGCAAATCCTTTCTAACAATCAGCACTGCAGGTTTCAATAAACTTTATGTATAACAAAAGATGTTTCATATGTAGAATTACTCAATGAATCTAACATTTGACATGGTTAATAATTTCATTTTTATTATACTAAATGTCAGGTCAGAAGTCAATGGCATTTACATAATGGAAGACTGTTTATCATTCAACTCTTTCAGTCATATCAAACACTTATTAACCAAATGTGACTGGACTTTACTGCTGTAACTTTACGGTTTCTTTCAAGTATATGCAAATCTTTTAAATGGGCACATATATAAGTGCAAAACAAATGAAATATAGATATTCAATGAACAGAAATAGCTTTTAAGTATAAACCACCCTTCCATTTAATTCTGAAGCTCTATCTTTTCTTCACTAACTTGTCTTGTTATTAGTAGTCTTCTATCCTATTAAAGTCGTAGGTTTACAGATGATCTGGAAATTTCACATTGGTATAAGAAAGGAATGTCAGCTTGATGGAGTCTATGGACAAAGAAAGAATTAGTCTTAAAATGTATAAAATTGCATTTATCTAAATAATAGTAGAATGAAAACTCATTTATAGCAGAACTACATCAAGTATACAATGTTCCTTTGATAAAGATAACATAAGTAATATATCAGAATATATTCTCAAGTGTAAAGCTTCTGTAGGAGACTTCATCCAGAAAATATTTACATTACATTTTAATCTCTTCAAAATGCATAAAGTTAATAACACTACTCACAGAATACCATTCAAATTAGTAAAATAATTAATAAAATTACTTTGCTTTTTACCTTATTGTTAAAACAAACTCTTAATGCCAGTGTTTGCAAAGATATTTTACTTGTTAAAAAAAAAAGTAACATCTTCAGTGGGTAGTCTTTAATGGAACACTTAAAAGAATACTTCAGTATGAATCAGAAACACAACTGTATTCATTGTACTCTCCAGCAGAAATAAGTAAATTATATAAACTAATTTTAACTCCTATAAGTTATAAACAAAATTTAAGCAACCAAATCACAAACCAAAAAGCATTGTTTTAATAAAAAAGAATACTCAATTGCAGTAAAATTGAACGACTTTGTCCGTGTAGTCCTGCATTCAGAAGTTAAGCACTAGAGGCCATTTTGCTTATGGAGTTCAAATAATTTAAAAATTTAAATTATTTATACGCATGAAGTATATGGTACTTGCTTTAAAAAAACAGAATAGAGTATAAAGTTATGAGATATCTTTATGTGAAGATACACCTGGCTGTACAATAAATAAATGCTATTACTAGATACACAGCCTCCAGAAAGTCACTGGATAACCAATAAAACAACCTCTGATCATTTTTTCATATTTCTATTTATTCAAGTTGTAACCTTCATTGTTGACACAAACTGACATACAATAAGAAAACAATAAGAAGAGCTCCTATTTTCTTAACATTTTAATCCCTTGAACCAGATTGTTAAAACAACTACATGATAACTTGTTTTTTAATCACAAGGTTTTTTTTCTCCCACTAGATATCTACGTGGATTTCACATTGTTGTATACAAAATGCCCATTCCTTCTGTGTAAGTACTTTATCATATTTTGTTTGTCAAGCCTTCAAGTTTTGTGCTGGTGGTTAGTTTGTACACATCCTGTGGTTTATCTTTAATGAGAAGTTTACAAAGTCAGACTTTTAAAACAATTTTTTAAATTCAATTTTTAAAACCTAAAAGTTATCTAAAAATTCTACAACTTACTAAATTTTGAAAAGCAGATTGTTAACAGTATTAACAAATATTAAACATGCCAGCTAAGTAAGTAAAAATCATTAGTACACAACAGGTATTTAGTATGTATCTGGTAAATGTGACTATACAATGGGAATAAACAGAGTTAACAGATTCGAATTTATTACCTCTATAATAAGAAGAAATATCTTGTTCTATGAGCAGCTGCCATACTTTCAGACATGTTTCTGACTTTTAGATAATTCACAAATCCTCTGAAGAAAAGAAGCAGGCCTGAGAAGGTTGAAATAATACAGATATATTAAGTTCTTACACAAAAAGGGGTCATAATAAATTTAAAATAGACAATTATAAACAAGATCTTCTTAGCTTAAGGAATTTAATCTGAAGAATTCCATTCATTCCATAATATAGTTTATACTATAATGACAACTCCATGATGAAATATAATAAAATTTTACTGTCACCAATACTCTATTTATTAAGTCTAGCTATACCAAAATTAAAGCAAATCTAGCTATAAAAATTCAGAATTACATACAAACATGCATTTATTAAGTGATTTCCTTAAATAGCAAAGTTATCTGACACATTTAAACTGATTCAACTAATAGGAATTCCATTTTATACTGATCTAAAACTTTTCAATTAAATGTAACTACTGAGCAAACTAAGACATATTTACTTATATAAAGTAAATATACATGCAGTTGATTAACAACTGTGGGAGAAAAAAATAAGCCTGTGTAGCAATATCAAGTGGCTGTCATCTATGAAATCTGTATTTGTAGATGTGTTTCGTAAATATTTTAAATTATGAGTTCTTATTTTCAAGTAATATTAAAAGATTATAATACAAAGTAAGATAATAGTCAGGAAAGAAGACTTGGACTTGGGAGACAGTTACTCGAGTGGTTTCTTAGATTATACAGGATTTGCCATATACATATTTTTCTTCTTTGTAAAATAATATTTAAAATAACAATCACAGATATCTTTAATAATTAAAAGAAGCAATGCCTGTGAAATGCTTTCAAGTTTCAGATAAAAAATTTTAGATAAAAATAAAAATATTAACATTATTAGTATAAGCCTTTGAAACATTTAATCATACAATTCTTAGGGAGAAATTTATTAACTCCAGTACATTTTTAACCAGGAAATGTGTGTGAGAGGTAGGGCGGGGAAACAAAACAGAAGACATGTACTGTATGTGTGCAACTTTCCTCACCAGGAGGAAAAGAGTCTGTGAATTTTGTATCCCAACTCCAAGACAGCAATCAAAGCACTAAAAACAGAAGCATGTTTAAAATAAATTGGAGAGGAAAGACGGAAGAGATATACAAATGATGACTTAAGCAAGTGGTATAAATTTCAGCTGAATCCAATCCCATCTGTTTCCCATATCCTAACTCCCTCCATTTGGGACTCCCTCTCCCTGAATTCCACCCTCATGCCCTTCTAGATGCTGTTCAAAGATAAGGATACAGCTATCCCAATTTAAAATATTAGTGAAAAATGTAAGACCAATATTATTTGTGAGATCCCTTCCTTTGTCTATGAAGCTGCTGTTTTTAAAATACATTTTGTTCTTGTCAGGCAGCTTCTAAAGAAGCCAATTCATATCTAAAAACCAGTCGCTTAGTGGCTACTGTTTCTCAAAATTCTACAGAGTGCCCAACGTTATTTTCAGTATATGTGAGAGTAACATTTTTATCACTGATTGCATTTTCGCAAATCCCCTTAAATAAATGCTAGATTATGACTCTGAAGTGGAACTGGGATTCCTCTGCATCCTACTCTGTGCCATAGTTATCTTTCCAAGATTCCTCTAAATCCATAAATTGCACACACACACACACACACACACACACACACACACACACACACACACACACACACACCTTTAATATGCTTAAATACTTGCAACTTTATAAATTATTTCACTTTTAGGTAAGAAACTCAATGAAGAACATAGAATCCAAGCAGTCAGAATCCAATTAATATGAAACTGGCTTAACCCCTATTCAAGTCTGATTCCACAACAAAGTCATATTAAAATAATTTTTCTATAATTATTAAAGAAAGACTTTAGTGACCTTAACTGACCACCAAGAATTTGTTTCCCAAAAGATCCTTAAGATCCAATAACATGACTAAATAAAAACTCAAAGAGAAGACTGCCACCTACTGAAATGCTTTTATGTTCTGGTGCAATTCTTTGAGAAATGTGGGCTTTTAAACCTAAGTGGAAACAAAATGTATTCTTCATATCAGCAAATATGTTCAAAATGTGGATTAAAGGAATAATGTGATTTTAAGATTAACTTAATTGTCATAGATCTAAAGTAAAAAATACAAGTATTCAAAAACTGAAAATCCATAAAATTCTATCAATGTTAATAAAAAGACATACCTTGTAAGGAGACAACTCAACAGAAGTACTGTGATCATTAGGCATGAAGCCTTTCCTTATGTCTGACTGATTAATGATTAATTTGGGCACATTTCAAAAGCATAAAGAATATGTCCATGATCCAAAAATAAGGGAATGGATAGAGCAACCAAACTATCCTACTCTCAAATTTCCTAAGATTATTAAAAGAAATTATCCATGTATATTTTCCAAGATAAATGCTAAAGACAAGTTTTTAAATTGTGTTGGAATTTTAAAATTTTGTAGTATTAAATTCTCATTCAACCACTGATTCTTTTTACACTGATAGCCTCTGGATTTTAAATCTAAGAAATCTGAAGTGATAGAATTATCTGAAATGCTAAGTTGATATAAGTGTTTAGATATGAGAATTTTATAATAGAAAAAATTATTTCCATATAAGTTGCAACATAATTTATTTACATCTTACAATTTTCAGAAATATCAAAGTTAAACTAAATGCAAATTATTCAAGCTAAAATGCATTAAGAATAAACTTACCAAGTACAAGAAATATCCACCAAAGCCAATACTGTCCATTGAAATATCCAGTAAAATAATCAGAAAACTATGGAATGAACATAAATATATCAATCATATTTTTATATCTAAATTTGATAATTACAGACTATCTTCAGTTTCAAAATGATTTAGTTCAAGTAATCTTTTAAAAATGCACAAAAGGAAAACAAAAAGTGCCTAATGACATCACTTAGAATTATTTGAGAAAAAATCTCTTATACGATAGCAAATGTATGCAAAATATTTTAAAAACAAAAAACAACTTCAAACTGCATACAAGAAAGAAAAGCAAATGCTATATATCTGAATCACATATTTTTTCATTAAGGAGTTCACGTCAGTCCTTTTTTGATAGTCTCTCAAAGCCACAACTACCATCCCAAACACACTTACAGCAACCCGCTGCTTCAGATATTAACACCAAAAGCCACATTAGTTTAATCTTATCAGATGGGGATGTTCTGTTGACCTCTAAAGAGAAGAGCTTTTGACCTTCTGTACACCCCTACTGTTAATCACTGCCAAAAATACCAGGCGCATAAAGACCCCCAACTCATTAGAGTCTTTTTATTTTCAAATAGATGCTCCAGCATTCAGTTCCCAACAGTGAGCTGAGAACAGCTAAATGAACCTTGAAGTGGCATTTCAACAGTTCTTATTAGTGGCCATGGTAGACAGTTTTATATTCTCGGTGGTGTGGGAATATGAGCAGGCAGATGGAAGGCAGGGTTTGATGATATGGACACAGGTATCCTTTCCTTGATGAGACTCTAGACATCGTACTTCATTAATTTTTAAAGGTTTAAAAAATTCAACTTAGTTTACTTCAGTTACTTTAGATAACTATTCCCTATTATCCTTTAACACCTAAAGATTGTCTCAGATAATTATTTTTTAAAAGTGTTCTTTATAACCTACTCTAAACTACTAGAAATTAGCTTGGTTTGCCTATCCTGTCTCTACTGGTCTGCAAATTGAATGTGATTTAACTAAAAATGATTTTGCTAAATGCAGAATTGCCATCAATTCTGAAATTAATTTAAAGTATTTTCAACTTTATAGGTAATGATCGCCAACTGTTTGTAAGTAACTTCCACGAAAGCTTAAAAATCATATAGCGCTGGCAATAACAAAAAAAATGCTTACAAATTGTAAATAATGTCACCATTTAGAAAGCATATCAACTAAAGATTATGTTTTTTTAAAGCCCTTTAAGTATTTTCTCAGGTAGTATTTTCGATTAATAATTAAACCATGATCTAAATCAGCTTAGAGCTGTAGAAATATCAAAGATTTAAAATTTCTTAATACTATAAAAGATGCAAATCCCATTTACTTCTACAATTTTAAAATATGTACAATGAAGGAAGAACTTCAAAATTATTAAAAAAAAAAATACAGCCTGGACAACAGCAACATGTTGTCTCTACAAAAAATACAAAATTAGCTGGATATAGTGGTACATGTCTGTATTCCCAGTGCTACTCAGGAGGCAGAGGCAGAAGGATTGCCTAAGCCCTGGAGGTCAAGGCTAGATGGTTAACCAGCATTGTGCCACTGCACTCCAACCTGGGCAACAGAGTGAGACCCCGCCTAAAAAAAAAAAAAAAAAAAGGAAAAATACACATTAAGAAGTAGGACTATACTATATGCTACATTTTAATAAAATGATTAATAACTAGAAATAAAAGGTGTTCATATAGGCTTCAGAAGCTATAAGAACAAAAAATTTTTAAAAACCAAAGCAATATATTTTTAACTTTATGTTACCTGTAAGTGGTAGCATAAAGAACAGAGTCATTATTTACCATAAAGCTATTGCTTATTACTTTCTTTCTTTTTTATTTTTGAAATGGAGTCTCACTCTGTTGCCCAGGCTGGAGAGCAGTGGCACACTCAGGGCGGCCCCAGCGTTGACCTGCTGGGCTCTGGCGATCCTTCCGCCTCAGCCTTCTGAGTGGCTGGAACTACAGGCGTGCACTACCACTCCCCACTAATTTTTGATCTAGTGTAGAGATGAGATCTCGCCAACTTGCCTGGGTGGGTCTCGAACCCACAGGCTCAGGCGATCCACTCGTCTCGGCCTCCCAAAGTGCTGGGATTACAGGCTGAGCCACAGAGCCCGGCCACTTATTACTTTCAAGTGAAGAGTATAATTATCTTCATCTTGACATCAAAGAGAAAGATTATTTAAAAAGGATAAAGAAATAAGCTTATAGATTCATTTGAATTACCAAAATGTTTTAAAATGCTAAAATCATAAAGCTGAGCTAAGTTGTTATTTTTTAAAATCAAGTAATCATGTGGATTGACCAATCATGGGCAGGAAAAATCAAATTTTGGAAAGCAAATTAACCAACATTAAGAATGTACCTAACAACAAACATTGGGCACTGCTAAAGGAGGGAGGGACGGAAAGAAGGGGGGCAAGGGACACAAAAGCACCCTCTGGGTACCATGTCCACTACTTGGGGGAGAGGGCTTGTCAGAAGCACAAGCCTTGCCTTCACAGTACACTTATGTAGCAAATCCTCACATGTACCCCGTGATTCTAAAATAAAAATTAAGAATTAAAAAAAAAGACTTCATCTGATTTTATTTTATTAATAAAACACCAGTATTTTATTGTTTACATCCTGTCTGTTTTCAAAAGGTACTCGTTAGTTTTTAATAAAACACATGCATTTTTAAACACATCAAAAGTCTCAGAAGTAATCAGAAGCCTGGGCTAAAGACATGTACACAAAAATCTGAGGTTCATGGCAGCTCAGAAACAAAAAAGAAGGCAAGCAGTATGACTGATAACTTTACTTATTGTCTAATGAAAGGAAAACACCAGGCGTTTAGGAAAAACCCTTTCTCTCAGCATTGAAGTCTTAAGAGGAATGTACTGCTTGGAGCATCATAGTAAAAGTCAAAATACACTATAACAGGCAGTAATGAATTAGGAGAACAAGCAATTAACTGAGGTCAAGATAGATTCAAATTCACATTTAAAACCATGGGACCCTGAGCAAGTTATTGTGTTTTTATTTTTGTTTTTGTTTTTTGAGTCAGAGTCTTACCCTGTCGCCCAGGCTGGAGTACAATGGCACGATCACAGATCACCGCAGCTTCAGCCACTTGGGCTCAAGCGATCCCTGCTCCTCTGCCTCCCGAGTAGCTAGGACTATAGGTGTGTACCACCACATCTAGATAATTTTTTGATTTCTTGTAGAGATGAGGTCTTGCTATTGTTGCCCAGGATTGTCTCAAACTCCTGGCCTCAAACAATCCTCCCATGTCAGGCTCCCAAAGTGCTGGGATTAGAGGTCACTGCTCCTGGCCTGGACTCTTTTTATTCTTAGTTTCTCAACCAATAAAATGGCTGCATCATCCCCAACATCAGAAATACACATAAAGTTAAAAAATTGGATGTTTGTAACAAATTATGGCTAGAATACACTAAGTACTCAATGAATGGCAGCTATTGTCATTTTATACAAAAGGTTTTAAAAATTCCTTGTATCAATCTGATATACTAAGGGTATAACATTAACCTTAGCTCAGTAAAGGTATTGTAAAGGGAAACTAAACGGTCCTGGTGATCAAACTTGTAAGTTTCCTATCTTACCACATTAGCTAGAGTCAATTACTAGATATCCCAACCCCTTCTCAACATGGGGTTCTTATGAGAGAATCAGTCTAATATCCTAAAAGCATAAGTAGCATATAATGCATTAGCCTGTTTCTTATGCATCTAGAATGAAACCAGCAATTTACCAACTTTGGGAGAATTGAGAAAATAGTCCTCAAATCATGTTCTGTGTTCTGTGATTCAGATGAAAAGTCCCATTTGAATAACTGCTTAATTCTATTAGCATCAGAACCTAAGTTGGACTTATCTAGCACCAACACTTGAGGTATTTTTTTTTAGTAAATAACTTCTGCAAGGGCGGGGATTATGTCTTTATCTTTGTATGTTCTGGAACACCTAATAGCTTTATACTCATGATAGAAACCCACTGTACACCTTTTGAAATAAAATTAAAATAAGAAATTGCCAGTTCTTATAATGGTTCAACTTTCAATTATCTTAGAGAAACCAGGCCACAGTTCCCAACCACGAATCAATTAATTAATAAACCAAAACCTTTAATCAGGTCTGAACTAAGACAAGATCTGATAAGATTACTGAAACCCTGGAAGATGTAAAATAAGTTTAAAAGTAATGAAGAAATTCATTGTATCTATCATATTAATACTTTTGTGATAGGTACTTTTAAAATAAATATAATGGTACAGGGGTATTATCAAAGTTTCTGAGCATTTAAGAGAAGCTGACATATTAGACCTGTGATTCTTCTAAAATTTTTAAAAGGGTTTAGCTCATTCAATTAGAAATCAATGTTTAAATGTAGAATTGGTGCATTTCAATTTATTACTTGTGTAATAGCATTTTAAATATATGGGTAATTTTTCAGAAGACTTATTAAAACAAGTCTTTCTTGACCATTCTCCTAGGTCATATCCAAAAAAACCCTCCCAAAAAGCAAAAAATAAAAATAAAAAACAGGAAGAAACATTTATAAAAAGAAGCCAAAAGGGGCCTTCAAGAAGCAAAGGTAAAGAGCTGGGGGAAGATTATGCTAATAATACTAAGGCCTATCAAGTTGTTCAGAAAACTATTTGGGAACCAGAAAAGTTGTTGAGATGGGGGAAAGAACTTATCATTGTCACCCTACACACCATCTTGTAAATGACAAGAAACCGAGAGAAGGTGACATCAGGGAACAACAGGAAAACGAGAAGGAAGGCAAAAAAAAAAACACAAGGGGGAAAAATGAGTTCTGATACCCACTTCATTGGCCTCTACTTCACTTTGAACGCTCCTTGTTTCAAAAGAAAAGTGTGAGAAGATATTTAAGTTCATAATAACTTTACTAAACAAGAAAAATGTTTATGTTTTGGCTGATTTTAGGCATACCTACACTATATCACAATAGTAGTCTCCATAGTATATTGAGCACATATATTTGTGCAGTAACTGAACAGGGTATTTCAATTATATTATTGCCATATTTCATAACGATCCTGCAAGGCAGCTATTATCAGCCTGCTACAATGAAACTAATGCTCAGAACAATTAAGGAACTTAAAGTTAGGACACAGACATAAAAAAGATGAGATTCAAACTTAAACTTTTCAAAGTTCTTTCTACTATACCAACAATCTCTCATATAATAAAATTATAAAACATTCACACCACAGAGATCACTACAGTAATTAAGCATAGATATTAAGAATGAGTCTCAAAGTAACTGAATTCATATGCATAAAATGAACATTTATGAACCACACAGAAAGTGTTATACCTTTCGTTTTAGATATAAAAGAGACACAGGCTATCAAGACACTTACCCGGACAATAAGGATCCATTTGATCAATGAAAGGCCAAATCCACAGATAGCACCATACCTCCCAGCTATGGTGTTGGTGATGCAGAAGGATAAACAAAATCCAAGCCAGTTGAAAATAAATGCCACTAAGAGCAAAAGAAACAGTTCTTTTAAAGACCACAATCTGGAAACAAGCTAACACAGACATAATATTAACACTACTTCATTGCTCAGTGGAAACAACAGTTCCCTTTCTCTTAACTTTATGCTAATTAATCCTTCTTTATAGACTGCAGCTTACCGCCTGAAAATGTATTAGTTATTTACTACACTGTACACCGACAAATGGGTAAGCTTGGTTTCTTGCCAGTTTGGTTAATAAGAATCAACTCATTAAAGCTTATCATCAATGGGTGAAACTGCATTTTTTAAAAATTTAATTTAATTTAATTTTTATTTTTTTGAGTTGGAGTCTCACTCTATCGCCCAACTGCAGTGCAGTGGCATGCTCCTGGCCACCGCACCCTCGACCTGCTGGGTTCCAGCAATCCTTCCGCCTCAGCCTTCCAAGTAGCCGGAACTACAGGTGCATGCTACCACGCCCAACTAATTTTTGATTTATTGAAGAGATGAGCTCTTGCCAAGTTACCCGGGCGGGTCTCAAACACGCCAGCTCCGGCAATCCACTCACCTCGGCCTCCCAAAGTGCTGGGATTACAGGCTGAGCCACCGAGCCTGGCCGAAACTGCATTTTTAAACCAGTTAAAAACCAGATGACAATGTAGCTCTCATGTGGTTCCATTCAAGAAGTCCAGCCTTAGCAGTCAGCCAACAATACTGGCTTTTTAAAAAAAGATAAAACAAAATAAACTTCAATACTTCACAAATATTTTATGGATTTCTTAAGGTATAGTCATAATTCTTAGAATTTCCTTTCTGGATTCACTTATAATATGTAACTCATCTAAAAAGCTATAAAAAACTCAGCTTTCCATGGACAGAGCCAGTCATTGTTGTATTGTTTTTCAGTACATGTAGTATCCAGATAACCCCGTTAAGTATTTTAACTTGTTTGACTTGTATATGGTTGGTGGGCAAAAGAATTTACTGAATAAAGATGTCCAATATCATAATTATTAGAGAAATGAAAATTAAAACCACAATGGCATACCACCACACATCTATTAGAATGTCTAAAATAAAATTTTTTAAAAACTGTCAATACCAAATGCTGGTAAGAAGGTCGAGCAACAGGACTCTCATTCTTGGCTGGTGGGAATGCAAAATGGTACAGCCAGCCACTTTGGCAATTTCTTACATATCCAAAGTCACATTTCAAAACACTCTTTTAATTTTTTTTAAAGTTACAGATAATTTATCCTTCATTTCCCTCAAGTCTAAAATGAGAATAACGCAGGCGACTGTTACCATGGCATGCTGATGTGAAGATGGTACAAATGGCTAAATCTTAGAAGTTTTCTAAACAGAGCCAAACAGAGCCCACTACATTTTAAATCACTAGTTTAAGGTCATTCCCATAGACTGTCAATACCAATAGTCCAGTGAATCTAATCTTAATTTCTTGTGTTTGATTACAAATAACAGAATTCTACTCCATTAGCTTAGAAAATTTCTTAAAAATAGTATCAGAAATATGCAGGTTAGGCTTGTGTATGAGATACTTGTGATAACAGTTTAAAGGATTTTGAGCAGCAAAAACATTATCAGGGGATACAAACACTTCATTTTTTTACATTTTCTGAAGAAGAACACACAATTATTTCAGTAATTTTACATGTAAATCTTTTTTAGGGTTATATGAGGTGAGATGTCAAAAACAAAGAAGGTGAGAATTAAACCAATAAAAGAGTTGAATGAAAATGTTATTATTAATATTCACTGTTACTTTACCTGCACAAGTTATATGACCTGAAATGCTCAAGTTATAAGCCAAATTAAAGAAAATCTATTTCTATACATCTTTACCAACAATAGCAACTATTATACAATTTAAGCATGGAAAACACAGCAGTTGCAATTTGAGAAACAGCCACTAGATGGTAGTGATTACAAATAAATCTATGTTTCATAAAGCAAACAAACTAGAGCTATACCCTACCAGGAAAAAAAAAAAAAATCAGAAAATTAAGGTAAAAAATATAAATTTACTCTTACAATATTGGCACAATCGTTTTAGAATAGGAAGCATAAAAAATATGAGTTGTGAAAATAAAAATATAATAAAAGATAATTTAATAATGTCATATAATTTACAAATATATAAATACAAAAAGATAATTTACTTTAAACCTAAATATATATTTATATTAGTTAATATACTATTACTGGCTAAGAATAAAGTCACCCAGCACTTACAACACTTAGATCAGTGAAATGGTTTCAAATCTAAAAAATGAAGATTCAAAAGAAGATAGTGGGGTTAAGTGAAGTTGGGAAATAAGAACTCTCTGAGCTGCATAGCTGGAATGTGTCAAATAACATGTTTTTATTCCTGAGAAAACAGGTATTCATATTAAAAATAATACATTTAGATCATTTTCTAATTAAGCCTAAAAGATATAACCATTAAAAAAAATTAATGTTTAAGCCAATCTTTTTGTAAACAAAATATGTGGGAAGTTGTTATTAACATAAAAGATGGCCAGTTGAACTAAAATTCAGAACCAAGGTTCAAGAGACTTATAATAATGCAAAGTAGTACTCATTTGAAACCAAAGAGTTCATTTCCTTTTCACTGTACCTAATATACCTAACTAGAAACTGTAACTAACACCAATTCAGGTTTAACTGCACATTAGCTGGTGGACAATTCTGAATATAATTTAATAAATATGGAAGAGAAAAACATAGCTGTGTGGCTCTCTTCTCTATTCCCCTCAACACCTCTGCTCTTTAGCAGGCGAAATAAAAGAAAGATAGGAAGCAAGAAATCATCCCAAAATGAAGGAAAATGTTATGTGAACTTCCAGACTCAAAAGTAACAACTCACAAAGAATGTATTTCTATGCTTTAAAGCTGAATGTGACACTTTACATAAGAAAACTATTTCTCAGTTTAATAATCAAAATAAACCCTATAATTAGCCCTTTGCACTCAGAGACACCTCATGGATCACCTACCAGCAACTCAAGGCACTTTTTTATGAAAAAGTGAAAAAATGAATCGCTTCCTATTAAATAGTGTAGCACTAGAACCAATTATTTTATTGCATGTAACAATATATGGCTTATAATGGAATGTTGGACATAGAGGAGATTATTCATGACAAAAAAATCAAGATTTTTATATCTTATATTTTTCTAACGTGTAGCAATGTGTGAAAGCCACTGACATGCATTGCAGGTTCACTGATATATGTTGTTCAATAGTAATTCATCCGACGTCTTCCCCATGGTGTTTTAATTTGAGCAGGTAAGTCTCTGTTTTCTTCCTCCCACATTCATAATATGTAACTTACTGTCCAGTCTGTTGTTGGAAGACGATGTTGAAGGACATTCTCTTTCTACATTAACACCAGTTAATTTTTTTTACATATGTCTCAATATATATTCCATCTTTATTTTTTCATGCAATTTGAATGGAAAACTTTAAGGAAACATACATTTTTGAAAAACTTTGAGCTGACATAAGTTTGTCCTGTACAATCACCAGCAGTCTCTTTATGTCCTCTAAGAGAGGACATCTGAGTGGTTTGCTAGATTTACGATATCCCCTGAGAGGGGACATGCGAGTGCAAAGAGTTAAAGTAAATTAAATCAGCATTCTGTCCAAGTGTGAAAGCCTGATCATGTAACCAGGTTGAGGACAGAAATTAACCATATCCTAGACTAATCAATTTACTTAAATGAATAACTGGATTTCTACCACTGGCTTTAGTGATTTTAAAAGTTTATTGAGCTTCCTAATTTTATTTAATGAATTTAATATGCAATCCCTGTGTTAGGAATAGAAATAATGAAGTGTATAATAGTCTTCCCACAAGAAGCTTAAATCTACTTTATAAGTTAAATATTAAATTAAGAATTTCTGTCTCAAGTGACATTGTTCCAGTTGCCCCAAATTTTCCAATCCTGCTTCTGGTTTAAGGATATGCAAATGGAAGTTCTCTGTCCAAAAAGTAGAATTTACTGTTTTGTTCTATGTTCTCCTACAGCACTAAATGAACATCAGTATTGCAGCATTTCTCTTACAAAATCTCTATTAGCTTAAGTATGCTTATATGCACATATGCATATATACAGTCAGCATCTAGCATAATGATTGTGATGCTTAATTATCCAGTAAGACCTTAAGTTCTAGGATTTGTATTATAACATATCACAATATTCATTAGCTCAGTATCAGAACAATTTACATCTTAAACAAGGTGGACACAAACTAACAATATTAACTTTTCTTTACTAGCTATTTTAATACACACAGCCAATATATGCCAAAAAAATTTAGAAAGATCACTTACTGAAAAAGGCAAGCATGAAAATCCCATCATTACCCACTCTGAGCTGGTCTGCATCACTGAAGTCATCTCTTGGTGGACACTCTTCTTCCTGAATCTGCAAAACATATAATATTAGAATAGCTGACTAAAATAGTTACAACTTTATTGCCTTAAATGTAAGAATAAGAACATTAATAAGATATAATGTTCTCAGTTTCTTGTATAGATAAAATGAGATAATGAGTTCAATGTCTGGCACAGAGCAAGTAATCAATAAACATTAGCAAATATTACTTTTTCATAGGCATTCTTGAAATGAGTAACTTTAAAGATAAACACAGAAAAGATAAAGATGAGTAACAATCAAACTTATGAAAATGGCATCTAAAACATAAATTTGACACTGCTATATTAGTATCACACAGGGATACAGGAATTTTCATAATCAGTGGTGGAATGTAAATTGGTACAAACTCTATGGTTGGCAATTTGACAATACTTATCAAAAATAAAAATGTATATACCCTTTGATCCAGGAATTCCAGTTCTTATAATATATTGTAGAGATAGACATGTATTCCCACTTATAAGAAATGACGTATTAAAGATAACTCATGACAGCAATGCTAACAAGAGCAAAAGATTAGAAACAATCTAAATGCTGATCAATAGTGGACTATGTTACAAGATAATTCTCCATGGGTCTACCATGTTTCTACATGGCTTCCAGGCAGCGTCACTGGCTGCCTTTTTTCTGGGTTTTTATACAGAGGAGAGCGTTGGAAGAGAGACAATTTGTCTCCCTTCAGAGTAGAGGTAGGAGCATTCTTATTGACCATTAGAAAAGATGTGGGTTCCCTAAGCTCAGGGTTTCTATCCCATAACACAACCCCCTCGCAGGTGGAGGTTATCACTTAGCCCTCTTTGAGTTGTCTTGTGGGAACTGGGGCTCAGAAAACTGGCATAGAAAATGCTCATATGCTGGTTACTGCTATTGCTGCAAATAATAAGTCTTCTCTGAGCCATCAGTCTCAAATTTTCTGCCAGCATCCATGAAATTGTGACAACCTAATCAGTTAGCTTGCAAGTCGGGTAAAGCCTTAGACTGTTGACAGTTCTTGAACGACTGGTAAGATAAATTATTTCCTATCTATTCAATGAAATTAAAAAAGAAGTGTAAAAATTTTAAGTAAAAAAAAATAAATTATTGATAGTCTTAATGCTCTGATCATCTCCAAAATGTATAAAGTGAAAATCGTTTGTATAGTACAGTACCTTTTGTGTACATAAATAATATGCTAAGATATTCATGTATTTGCTTATAAGTGTAAAGAATCTCCTTGAAAGTATATACAAAACCTTTTATCACTGATTGCTTCCAATACTCAACAAATATTAATGGAATACCCATTCTACACAAGACTTTGCTTCCTGGTCCTTGGGATGCATTGGTGTACACAAAACAAAGATGCTTACCCTTTTGAAGACCATATTCCAGCCAGCTAGGGAAGTCAGACAACAACCAAAGACTAACAAATACATTATTTATAAAATTACCAAAAGATGTAAATGCTATGCCAAAAAAAAAAAAAGAAAAGAAAGTTTAAGAATGCTATAGGGTTAAAGGTTACAGTTTTAAATATGGTGGTGAGATAAAAGCCTCACTGAGTTGATACTTGACCAAAGATTTATGGAAGAAGTAAGAGAGTTAGCTATGGAGGTATCTCACAGACAAGTGTTCCAGGCAGAAGAATAAGCCAGAGCTAAGTTCCCAAGATAGGATCACATATGGCACGTGAGAGTAATAGTAATTGCAATATTAAACTCTTTCTCCATTGTAATGGCTGCATCAGTTTTGGTTTGTCTGGGCAGTGGACATAAGAACCCAGTTCATCTGTAACCCCAGGTCAGCATGAAAGAGCTCACTCATTAACTTAATTCATCGTCATTTACCAAACAACATATATGTGCCAGATAATAACTAGTTTCTAGGAATTAGTTATTGCAAGTAAATGCAAAGTCTCTGTCCTGGAGTTGTTCACAATTTATCAAGTGCTAATTCTAATGTCAAAAGACAAGTTATTAAAAACAATTTAAAACAAGTTACCAAAAAATGAACTCCACTCACTATAAGATTATAGGATGAGCCTACCTGATGAAGAAGAAATGTTCTACAAGTTTTATAAAGATTTAGAATTCAAGTATTTTTCATAGAAATATTAAAATAAGTAGTTCATTTCCATAAATCTATTTAACCATTCTCCTATATTACATGCAACTCTACACATTAGAAATAGGAAACAGTAGAAAACAGTACTGTTTCCAAATCTCTCGACTGCCTATATCCCCCAATAAGAGTTGATTTAAGAAATAAGCTTGCAGCTGACTCATTTACAACTGAATGTACTCAAATGCTAATCAGACCAGGGTATTTTTTTTTCAATTTTTCAATTTTTGTAATTGACAAATAAAAACCACATATACTTATGGTGTATAACATAGTGTTTTGAAATATGAGAGGGAATAAAAAATCCCAGAATTATCTTTTGCAAGCGGGCCTCTTGAAGTACAGGCTTCCTCCACTAGTTAAGTATTCTAGGAACCCATCGGCATCACCATACCAGCGAACGTTGTTGTGAGAGGCTGTATTCAATTTCAGTGATTTTTTTTTTGGGAGATTCTTGCAACGTGTTTGCTCATTTGTGTGGCCCACACCACACTGAGTGTTCAGTTTTTGCCTAAAGTGGCATGACCCCCATGCCCCACCCCCCTATTCACCCAACCTTGCCCCAAGTGACTTTTTTTTGTTTCTCCAGATGACAAAAAAGTCTCAAAGGGAAATGTTTTGCCAATGTGGAAGAGGTGAAAAAAATGGCAAAAGGACTAAAAGACATCAAAACTGACAAGTTCGAAAACTGTTTTGAGCAGTGGAAAAAGCATCTTGATAGGTGTATTGCATCAAATGGAGCATATTTGAAGGTGACTGAAGTTTAAATGTGTAAGAATAAATACACAATTTTTTATAAATAGATTCCAGTTTTTTGAGCATTCCCCTGAATGTATACACTGTGGAGTGGCTAAATCAAGTTAATTAGCATATGCATTACCTAACATACCATTTTTTGTAGTGAGAACACTTAAAATCTACTCTCTTAAGAATTTTCAAGTATAGAGCAGTTTTTAGCTGAATCAGGTATGGAGACACACACAAACACTCATACTTAGCAGAAAGAAGATGCTGGAGCACGAGGCTGGAAAGTACTGAGTTGAGAAGCACTGATACATTCAAAAAATGATTTACAAGGACCAGCCTTTTGTGTACAATACGACTTTCCTTTCTATGAAGCTTTCCACAATGCCCACACACTGGGGATATAATGATATCAGAAGCAGGTGAAAACAGAGAACTTTTATTTATGGGCATGCTTCAATTCCAGCTGGTGATCACATTTGCTTTCTAAAACAAGGCACTGGGTATGATAACAGGGAAGAATGGAATCGTAACACTTTAGAATTTTCTCTCCAAAAGAGGTAAAATCACCTTTATGCTTTTCTTTAATCACAAATAGCAAGATTCAATGCTTTCCACTTTGCCTTTAGAGTTCCATCCTACTGTATGGGAATTAGGGCAGTGAAGGACACGAGGTTCATAACCCTCTTGAAGGATCTTTGCTATTGCCAAGGTCCCTATGATGACATTGGAGAAAAGGAGTAACTGTCAAGTTACTTCACTGAGAGATGTGAATTTACAAACACAGGGATTCTAAGCAACCTAGAGTTGGTTTTTGACAGAAACCCCGTATTTTTTAAACCTATCCTCCTTCTCTATGCTGCTTCCCTCACAGCATCAAAAGACAGCCAATCTGCATGCCACTGTCTTCAGACTTCCTTTTCCCCTCTGAGAGGGAAAAGGCATAAAAAAATAAATCTGGGGTTTACTGGCTTAATCTATCATAAATGTGTCCAGTGCTATTTATGTTAATGTTTAACCCTGTGTGTGGTGAACAGAGGAGTGGAGCAGGTATGGAAAGGGTTGTTGCTGATAAAAGAAACACATCCAGGACACACACTCATGTCTCAGAGGATCTACTCACTGGGCTCTGATCTCACAGCAGCAGGAGGAAAATGCCAAACATGAAAAGCCATCTCTTTTCCTTGGCACCTCACCTAATTCTAGCTTTCCTGGATCAAGTGATTTTTGGGATGTCTTTTTCCTGAACACAATGGGATGAATCCAGGGATCTGAAATGACAGCTCTGAAGTCTGAAGCAAGAAAAAAGGGCAACAAATTCTAGTCCTCCTTGCAGCCACACTAGAATGAAAACAATTTTTGCCTCTTACTTGTCTGCAGAATAGCATGTGAGTATCTTATCAACTATCCATTACTGAGACAGCCATTCCTTTTACCATAACAAAGAATAAGGTGTATGCATTTTGTTGGCTTTCTCTATTACTAAGACAGGAAGATGAAGGAAAAAGGCAGGTGGCATCCTTGACCATCACTCAAAAATTTTAGAGTGGGATATATTAAAAGAAAACAAAAGCCGGGCTCAGTGGCTCAGCCTGTAATCTCGCACCTTTGGGAGGCTGAGGTGAGTGGATTTTCCTGAGCCCGCGGGTTCGAGACCTGCTTGGGCAGCGAGACCTCACCTCTACAATAAATCAAAAAATCAGCCGGGCGTGGTAGCGCATGCCTGTAATTATGGCTACTCGGAAGGCTGAGGCAGAAGGATCACCGGAGCCCAGCAGGTCAAGGCTGCGGGGGCCGGGAGCGGCCACTGCACTCCAGTCTGGGTGACCGAGTGAGACTCCAACTCAAAAAAAGAAAAAAAAGAAAAAAGGAAAAAAAAAAAGAAAACAAAAGTTAAATTTTGTGCTTTTTTGGCTACCTTGAGTAATTTTATGGAGTCACTAAACTGACTATGCTAATATATAAAACATGAATAGAAAAAAAAAGATGACTCACAATTACAGTAATAGACCACAGAAAACAAACTATGTAAGGAGAAAAATAAGTACACAGTGGACTTGAGGTCCAGGTGATGGAAGAACTGTCAGGCAGTGGCAACCACAGTGTATTAGAAGGATGGGAGGTAGAGGTTAGCATGTGAGGTGCTGAAATAAAAACTCAGAAGTGACAAAAATTTTGATAAGCGTAAGGTCTAGGATGATCATAAGCAGAGATGGATTAGAAGGGAAGAGCAACAGAAATGAGGAGAACAAGGAATGCAGAAAAGGTGAACTTATATTGTCAATTTCCCAAAACTGAGGACACACATAAGCAATAGTAGAAAAATTACAGTTGACCCTTGAAGAATACAGTTTTTAAGAATGGCAAGTCCTGTGCAGGAGAAAATTTGCATACAACTTTTAATTACCTCAAAACCTAACTACCAGTTGACGCAGTAGCTCATGTTTGTAATACCAGACCTTTGGTAGGTTAAGGTGAGAGGATTGCTTGAGCCCAGGAGTTCAAGACCAGCCTGGGTAACATAGTGAGACCTCAAGCCAAGATTGTGCCACTATACTCTAGCCTGGGCGACAGAGTGACTCCAACTCAAAAGAAGAAAAACTTAACTGCTAATAAAATATTGTTAGCTGGAAATCTTATTGATAACATTGTCAATTAACACATAAATTGACTAGTATCTACATATATTTTATGCATTCATGGCATGTCTAATTTTTTTAAAATTTTGTTGATATTTCTAGCCTATAGAGTTTATCTGCAATTTTTTTCAAATTATTGCACATCTCAAAAAAATTTTCCAATATATTTATTGAAAACAATCTGCATATAAGTGGACTCATGCAGTAAAACCCATGTTATTCAATGATCAAGTATGCTTAAAAAAACTACCTACACAAAGAACTATTTCTGATATTACTAAATGAACCTATCAATGAACAAAAATAACTGTATCAAAAGAAATGATAAAGCATTCTTACTCTTTGAGATGTTTCTGCTGCTGCAGCTGCCATGGCAGCAGCTTTGGCCTTCTCAGCTTCATCGTATGTAGGAAGAGAGGTAGCAACACTGTAGGGAGGTGGCACGGGATAATACTCATTGTAAACTTCTGTATCTGAAGAAAGAAGTTTTAAAAGAACAATTCATAAAAACTACTTAATACCATTTGAACAGCCATAACCCTAACTAAGTAATTTACAATAGGCCACTAAAGTCTACTATTGCTATTATAGTCCAATGCTATAAGCTAGGTAACATACAACTTACTATTACAATCATATCTTATTTTAGTTCAAATGTATTATAAAAAGAAAGAATGGTTAAATACCATCTAAAGGCTAATACATTAAACAAGAACTTTAAGAATGAGATTTTGTAAAGAAGTGCCAGACATAAAAGGTAAGAATCTCACAATATATGGGCATCCTCTTGATGCCCATTAATATGCACAAAGAACTTTGTTTACTTGCCGATTATCTCACAACCAAAAAAAATTAAAAAAAAAATACCAGAAATATGATCCTACCACTTTGGGAGGCCAAGCGGGAGAACTGCTTGAGCCCAGGAATTAGAGACCAGCCTGAGTAACACAGCAAGACCTAACCTCTACAAAAGTAAAAAAAAAACTGGGTATGGTGTCATGAGCCTGTAGTCGCAGCTACTCAGGAGGCTGAGGCAAAAAGATCGCTTGAGCCCAAGAGAGGCTGCAGTAAGCCATGAGAGTGCCACCGCACCCTAGTCTGGACAACAGAGTGAGTCCCTGACTCAAAAAAAAAAAAAAAAAATCATAACAAGCATTTATAAAGTACTAACCATTTCATATACCACTTCTATATACATTAATCTTAGCAACTCTGAGGTTTAGAAAAGTTAAGTAATTTGTCTGATACCAAACAACCATTAAGTGGTAGAACCAGGGAGTTCCAGGCACCAAACACTTTGCTCTGATAACACATAGGTGTAATTTTTCCACACAAGTTGATTTTGGCAACTGCCTTAATCTATTAAGGAAATTCAGTATTCTCTTTGCTAAAAAGATTGATAAATGTTTACTTTCTTCACTCTTGTCCCTTTCTCCTCCTATTTTCCCCTTTTCTACCTAGTTCTTTATATTTTTCATTTTATGAAATATTTTTATTTGGGGTCTCAAATCTATCACTCAGGCTAGAGTGCAGTGGTACTGTCATGGCTCACCACAGCCTCAACCTCCTGGTCTCAGGCGATCCCTCTGCCCAGCTTCCCAAGTAGCTAGAACTACAGGTGTGTGCCACCATACCTGGATAATTTAAGAAGTACTTCTAATTACTTCTAATTTTAAAACTATTTTAAAAACACAGTCTCCAGAAATATATTACAATAATAAGTACAGACTGCTTATCTTAAAAATAAACTTCATCACTTATTTCCAACATAAGCAGAATAAGTAAAATGATAAGCTCAATCAACTGATTAGATTTACGCTGGAATCACCAACATGGGGAAAAAAAGGTAGATTCTAAAAGACATCACATTTGTAATTTCTTGTATAACTACTGTATTTTTATATAGACATATCTGACTTTATTATGCTTTGCTTTACTGTACTCTGCAGACACTGTGTTGTTGTTATTTTTTTAAAACAAATTGAAGGGTTATGGTAATTCTGCATCAAACAAGTCTACTGGCACCATGAACCAAGCCCACAGAAGACAAATTAATTGACAGAATGTTGTGTGTGTTCTGACTGCTCCACCAATCAGCTGTTTCCTCATCTTGTTCTCTCTCCTGAGGCGTCCTTACTCTCTGAGACATAGCAATAATGACATTAGGCCAATTAATAACCTTGCAGTGGCCTCTAAGTGTCTGAGTGAAATAAAGAGTCACATGTCTGTCACTTTAAATTCAAAACCTAGAAATGATTATTACACTTAGTGAAGAGGGCAGGTCAAAAGTTGAGATACACCAAAAGGCCTTTTGTGCCAGTTAGACAAATTGAGAATGCAAAGGAAAGGCTCTTGAAGGAAATTAAAGGTGCTATCCCAGTGCTCACAGGAACAATATTATAAGAAAGAAAAGCAACCTTATTGCGAATATGGAGAAAGTGTGAGTGGTCTGGAGAGAGGATCAAACCAGCCATGACATTCCCTTAAGCCAAAGCCTAATCTAGAGCAAGGTTCTAACGCTCTTCAAATCTGTGAAGACTGACAGAGGTGAAGTAACTGCAGAAGAAAAGCTGGAAGCTAGGAGAGGTTGGTTCATGAAGTTTAAGAAAAGAAGCTACCTATTTAACATAAAAATATAAGGTAAAACAACAGATGCTGATGTAGATGCTACAGCAAGTTACACGGAACATCTAGCTAAGACTCCTGATGAAGGTAACTACACTAAGCAACAAAAGAAATAGCCTTCCAGGACTCTGACAGCTAGAGAAGAGTCAATGCCCAGTTTTAAATCTTCAGAAGACAGGCTGACTCTCTTCTTAGGAGTGAATACTTTAATAACTTTAAGTTGAAGCCAATGCTTATTTACCATTCCAAAAACCATAGAGCCCTTAAGAATTATGTTACCTATACTCTGCCTGTGCTCTAGAAATGGAACAAAAAGCCTGCATGACAGCACATCTGTTTACAGCATGTTTACTGAATATTTTAAGCCCACTGTTGAGAAGTCAGACAAAAAAGATTCCTTTCAACATACTGTCAATATACTCATTGACAACGCACCTGGTCACTTGAATTATGCCAGATGTGTACAAGGAGATTAATACTGTTTTCATGCCTGCTAACACAGCATCCATTCTGCAGCCCATGGATCAAGGGGTCATTTCTACTTTCAAGTCTTATTATTTAAGAAATACATTTCATAATGTAATTGTTGTCATAGACAGTGATTTTTCTGATGGATCTAGGTAAATTAAATTAAAACCCTTCTGGAAAGAATTTGCGATTCAAGATGCCATTAGGAATATCCATGATTCATGGGAGAGGGTCAAAATATCAATAAGAACAGGAGTTTGAAAGAAGTTGATTCCAACCCTTATGGATGACTTGGAGGAGGTTCAAGACTTCTGTGGAGGAAGTAAGTGCAGATGTGGTGGAAATAACAAGAGAAGCAGAATTAGAAATGGGGCCAGAAGACATAACTGAATTGTTGCAATCTCATGATCAAACTTGAATAGATGAAGAGTTACTTCTTATATACAAGCAAAGAAAGTGGTTTCTTCAGATAGAATCTACTTCTGGGTGAAAACAGTGAAATGATACTATTGAAATGATAACAAAGGATTTAGAAGATAATATACATTTAATTGATAAAGCAGCAGAGTCAGAAAGGACTGACTCCAGTTTTGAAAGTTCCATTGTAGGTAAAATGCTATCAAACAGCATCACATACTAGGGAAACTTTTCGCGAAAGGAAGAGTCAACTGAGGGGCAAACCACACTGTTGTCTTATTTTAAGAAACTGCCACAATTACAGCTGGGTGTGGTAGCTCATACCTATAATCCCACCTACTCAAGAGCCTTAGGTGGAAGAATTGTTTGCAGCCAGGCATCTGAGGTTGTAATGAGCTATGATCGTAGCGCTGCGCTCCAGCCTGAGCAACAGAGACTCCATTTCAAAAGAAAGGAAAGAAAAGAAGAAAGAGAAGACAGAGAGAGAGAGAGCGAGAGAGAGAGAAGGTGGGGAGGGAGAGAGGGAGGGAAGAAGGTAGCTAGGTGTGGGGGAAGAAAGAAAGAAAGAGAAAAAAGACAGAGAAAGAGACAGATAAACAGAAAGACAGGAAGAAAGAAGGAAAGTAAGAGAGACAAGACAGGAAAGAACTGCCACAGCCACCCTCCCCTTCAGCAACCACCACCCTAATCATTCAGCAGCCATCAACATCAAGGCAAGACCCTTTACCAGCAAAAAATGACAACCCACTCAAGCCTCAGATGATTGTTAGCAATTTTCAGCAATAAAGTTTTAAATTTTGACATGTGCATTTTTTTAAAAAAATGCTATTGCACACTTAATAGACTACAGTATAGTATAAACATAACTTTCATATGCTTTGAAAAACAAAAAAAACATATGACTCGCTTTATTGCATTATTTGCTTTATTACAGTAGTCTGAAGCTCACGATATTTGAGGTATGCCTATATTTTTTACATTTGTTCAGAATTTTCTCTATCAGAATTTCCTATACTTCCAACATGAAAATACATTTACTCTAGCAATACTTCTCTTATTGTATTTATGTATACATACAGGTTTTAGAACAATGTTTTTTGTTTTTTTGAGTTGGAGTCTCACTCTGTCACCCAGACTGGAGTGCAGTAGCCGCTTCCGGCCACCGCAGCCTCGACCTGCTGGGCTCCGGCGATCCTTCTACCTCAGCCTTCCAAGTAGCTGGAACTACAGGCGAGTGCTACCACATCTGGCTCATTTTGATTTATTGTAGAGATGAGGTCTTGTCAAGTTGCCCAGGCGGGTCTCGAACCCGCGGACTCAGGCAATCCACTCACCTCAGCCTCCCAAAGACGCGGGATTACAGGCTGAGCCACCGAGCCCAGCTAAAACAATGTTTTTAATGCTACCAAAAAGAGCTAAGAATCTGAAGTTATTTTTAATTTAAAGACCGTAAGTGGTACTAGCAGTATAATACTGAATGTTATTGACAAGAAGAAACAGAGTCAAATTCTTCGAAAAGATTTATTATCCAGATGTAAAAACACCATAGCTATCACTTCTAGACCTTTTGGTTAAGATCATGTGTAAAAACACCATTTGTGGTAAGTAAATAGATTTCTTTAGTTCTGAGACTAGAGTAGAAACAAAAACTAAGTGAAAACAATGGATATGAATTTTAAGGCAATACCATTAAATTAGTAAATTTAAAAAACTGAAACAATGACATACTTTATCAAAGAGATGTGATCTTTTATGTTAACAAGTATGTATATTTTTGAAAAGCTTTAACATTCAAGATAGAAAAACAAAAATCCCCACCAATTACAGATCAAGTGGGGAGACACACTAAATATCTGGAGCTTTAATTTTTACTTTTACTTATTTTTCTTCTACCCTTTTTAAAAGGCAGTGGTTCTTAACCAGAGGATTTAAAGTCTGGAATCTCATGTTCCAAATCCTCTTC